AAGCGCACAACGTTTATGTCGTGCCCGGGATATATAGCACAATCGACGACGTGAAAGCGGGCAAATGAGAGCGCCCGGGTAGTCCTCAGCAGATTTTGACTGAAGGCTCCCTTCTGGACGCACTGTGGGGGGGAGTCGTCGACCGAAAGCGAGGACAAGAGTGGCGATGTGGGCTTGTTGGTGAAACATTTGAAAGAAATTTATGTAGCGCTCTGTCTTCTCAGTCTGTTCTTTCCTGTGTTCGTTTTTTCGCCTCGCGCTACATAAATTTCTTTCAAATGTTTCGAAAGCGAGGGGCGTGGGTATAGACAGGCCGCACGTCGCACCCTTCCAAAACGTAAACGATACCCCTCGCACAACACGAAACGCATTTCGCGCGCTTCATCGTTACAATCTCGCCGAAAGGCCACGCGTATCCAAGAGGCAACACAACACCCCCTCCTTGGAGCCACTTTTTTTTTTCACTTGCAGGGAAGGCACAAAACGTGAGCCAGATCGACATGCACTTACATATTCGAAGATGTGCCGGAGCATGATATAAAAATGAAAAAGGGGCCTTTGCGGAGGGATAATTCATGTAGTGGCCTAGAATGCACAGCTCTTTCTCTCGGACAATTAGGAAAATGAGCGCGTTCACTCAACTGCGGTCCTCCGCGTGCACGATTCCGAAGTTGGTCGGACCGTCGTCCGGTTTCACGACGTTCCAGTGCTTCGGCCGATGGTCACTCTTCAACCAGCGCTGTATAGGTCTTGTCTCCTAGAAGATAAGACTATATACCGCGGCATTTTTACTTCTTTTTCACTCTCACGCGACGTCGGCGAGTGGCGCCATCTAGGATTGTAAACAAACGCTGCTGCTGCGCTAACAGCCAAAGCGCGTAACGGTGGTACGCAGATGGACTCGTACCGACGAGAAATCTTCCTGCGTATGCGTTCGGTGTTTTATGATGAAAGTGTAAATTCGACATTGTTGCACACGAAATCGAAACCCGTTCGCGCAACGACGGCCCGAGCAGGCCGCGCCAAGAAAGTGACAACCGTCCCATCTCCCACTGACGTTAGCAAGTGGGCGATGGGGCCGTACTGGACCTGGGGCCTCAAACACGCCGCTTGGCCCGCACATGGATGCTTTTTGTCCCATGGCCTGTTAATTTCCTGAATAAGTATGTTTCTGAGCTACACAAACGTATCGTTCTGAAGCCTTTTAGTGGGGAAGAGAAGGTCCCGATGCGGTCACCGTGTCTTGAGACATATCAGAGCGAACAATAACTCGGTATTTCAGAATCAGTGTCGAGATTTCAGCCATTCAGCAGGTCAGTACCGACATGTTTCTCGAAACACGATGTCAAGTTCCCTCCCGAGACGATCGACGTACAGGCCTTCTTTCAACTGACTAAAAACACGTTCTTGGTCTAGTTGGTGCACGGCCTGACAAATATTTGGAAGCACAAAGAAACGAGGCCAAGGAGAGGCAGTAGTCATATGGCACCTGTCATTTCCTGTCCCCGTATTCATGAGCCTCCAAATGATTGTCGGCAATGTTAACTGACATTTCGCTTAACCCAAACTAACTCGATGCCATTCTTCTTGACTGTTCCGGCCCTTGCAGGAGACCGAATCGCGTGAATGCGGCCCGCTGGAAGAGGCGAGTTTGGGGACTCCGATTTAGACCATACATTTAGCGGCCACCCCCGCCTTTCTTCTCCACGTCACATCAGCGTTAAGGTCTCAATAATTCCTCCCAACCAGCCGGCCAGCGCAAAAGTTCGTCGCCCTCGTCTTGCACGTAACAACCGCCGTGTTGCGCGCCACTCGGCCAACTAGAATCAAGGGGGGGCCGGCCTGTCCGAAGCCGCCGCCGCCGCCGAGAAGACGGAACGAGCGCAGCAGCTCCCGCCCAGCCCGACGTTACGCGCGGTCATTACACGGGCCAACGCGTCTCGCACAGCGCGCTCATCGCGAAAAAAACCCCATCGTCGTCGTCGTGCGACGGGAATAACCGCGAAAAAATGGGGCCGGCCCCGCGGCGCGCATCGTCATCGTCATCATCACCTCGTACGAGGATAATGCTGCGTTACTTCCAGAGCAAGAGACCGGCTGCCTGTGGTGGATTGAAACGACGAAAAGCTCCCAAGTTCAAATGCGGGCGTAGTAAATGCAAATGGGCTGCGATTCCTCGCCAGGCCCGGCGCTCGATCGGGGACGCCGCGTATGCCTACAGCTTCTCAAGGTGGGCACGGCGGTCACCAGCTGAGAGGGCGAAAAGGCCAGAAGAGAGCCAGTCACAGACTCATTGTGCTAATGTTGCATAAGGCCGTGCCATAAGTGAACCAGAAATTGGAGTACGAACTTGATTTAGAATCGTATGTCAAGTGATAGCAAACAAAAAGGGGGGGTGGGGAGGCTGAATTTAGGGCAGACCACCACGGTGGTCCAACCACATAGGTCTTTGGGTTAACGCAGTCTGTCCGGGATATTTCACGGCACGACCAGGAAGCCCAATGCACATCGGGACTACATTATGAATAAGATGGACACCGCAGGAGTGGAATAATAAATAAGTACCTTGTTTACACTTGGTCTTATAGTAGAATATCAATATTAATGATTAGGTTAAACACCATTAAATGTAAAGACAAAGGACATGGGAGCACAGAACATCATGCAGGTCGGAACCCATTTTCTGTGCCAAATGTCTGTGTCTTTATTTGTGTGGCCCCATAAGCGTGCATAGGGTTTCCTTTCACGAGGTGGGGGGGCCAAAGGTTCGTCGCAGTGCCCCCCTCTCCCTATCATGTCAATACATACATGGGCTGAATTTGCCCCCCTTGGCCCCCTCCCACGCACACTCCTGTGTGTGGCAAAAGCCTGTAGTACATATTCCGAGAACATCGCAATTTTGAACATAGCATACATACACAGAATGAAGGGAAGCTGGGAACTGTTCCAAAATTCTGCTCTTTGATCAGATATACCAAGAGGCACAAATGAATTTGCATTACTAATATTGTGGGAGTATGCAATGCTTCTCGGACTTGGTTGAAGAAATGCAAGATATTGGTGCTCAGTAAAAATACCATCGAAACGACTTCACAGAAAGAATTACGGGCCTCTTCTGGCCACTATCATATTGGGGTAATGCTTCAAAATGAAACGGAGCAACAGAAACGAGCAAGATTTAAAATTGCACCGTTGTGCAGTGTATGTATCCATAGATCACCTAAACAATATTTTCATGTAACACTAGAATATCGTGCTACTCCAACTCATCATAAAAAACTACAGATCAACTAATGAAGAAATATCTTCTTCATAATCACCAAATACTAATGTGAAGCGTGCCATAAATGAAAACCATGCTTCACGAACATCCAAAAGCTAGGCATCATACACACACACGGCATGCAACATTCCTTCTGCACAAAGCGTATATTATAAGAAGTAGATCATGCAAAGCCCTGCTTCTCTTGCATAGGTGCAATATATGTGACCTGCACTGACCTTGATGCCGTGATGCAGGGCTGCAGGGCAGGGGGCTAAAGTGCACCGTTTTGGGCATGCAAGGCGATTTCGGCTGCACTTGCAAGCTCCGCCTTGCCAAAGCGGGACGGCTCATGCTAGACCCGTCCAACTCTGGACCAGTTGGGCCGAATGAAAGGTGTACGAGAGTGGGTAGGGGGTGCGGGTTAGGGAGGAAGGGGGTGAACTCCGGTTAGTTCAGTTAGTGCAAACTACTACACTTTAGAGGCGGTGCTGCCCCAACTGAAGATGCGACCTAAGCTTTCTCTCAACAAGCATGCATACGTTTACAGCACAGCTTGCAAGGTTAGCTTACTCAACTTTTAAATTACCTCAACAAAAAAAAGTACTGCTAAAAAAATCCTATATACTGTGGTTGTGCTTTAGCAGCATAACAAGGCTACAGCTGCCAACATACAATGCAGGATGTTCAAGTGACCTGAACTATTGCATTCCAAATGCACACAGACAACAGCTATCTTGCTTTATGGGGCTATGATGTGCACAACTGAATTTGCTGGTTGGCGGCCACATTAGGCATCTAAGCCAGTCAGCAACAACGACAAAGTTATATTCTCGAGTCTGTAAGCAATTAACATTTTGTGTAATTGCCAGAGAAACTAATAAACGGTGAAGTGCACACAATTGAAACAAGCAGCACTACAAACACATAACACGTATTCTAATATAGCCTTACATATAGGGTTACACAGAGTTATTGTGTTAGTGACCAGTGTCAATTAGCAAATTTCATTGCCATGCAACCTAGGATGGGGACATATAACAATACACGCATGCCTTCTAAGAAGTTAAATTTTTTCATTGACAGTGTGCAGATGACGTGCAGTCTTTGACGTGCAGATTTACTTTGAATCGGACTGGCAGGTACTCCATTCCGTAAGATGTCGAACAAAATGCACACACTGTAAACATTGACCTCCAGATAAAGTTTCAATGCAAATAAGCCTGCGACTTAGCAGGGAGCCATTTACTATGCTGAGGTCCTTCATCAGTGCTATGTTTGAAATATAATAAATTTTCCTGAATTTCCTAGCAGCTTATCCAAATCTACACTGAGTAAGAAGCTTCGTAACATGTGAAGTAGAAAATTTCATGCATCATAACTCACTGAAATTTACGAAAGTGTGTCACATGCAAGGCACTGTGTACAGCCAAGCACATCTTTCAGCCAGCAGCCACTAAACAAAAGATTATATACACAGGGCACCACAAGGAAAACCAAGTTAACTAGCAGGGTGACAAAAAAAAATTATCAAAAAGTAACGAACAACCCAGCCTATAGCAAGCAGCATAACACACATTCAGTTGCAGCCTTGCAACACACTTCGTGCCCAGTGTTGTCTCACCAAGGGCCTCTCTTGCAAACTTGGTGGTGAGCACCGGGTTCTGCACTGGTGAGACTCTCCGCGTAAAAGAAACTAACCTCTTCTGCTTGATACACAATGAATGCGCTGGCCTACCTTTCGTGGGTGGCCTTGTATTCCATGGCCGTGGGTAGTCTGGCCGCTTTAGGAGCGGGCTTGGTCTTGCGCTCTGAGAGGGCTGAAAGCACGATACGCGGGTCGTAAGACGGGCAAAGGCTTGGTGGATTAGAAAGAGATGCGAACAAATGCCAAGGACACTACAAGTGTGATGGGAAAGGATGGTGTATGAGCACCGCACTGAAGGACACAAGGATAACAGTATGAAACGCAGATTGGGCACAGTGGGTGACACGCTAGCAGCCACAAATGGCAAGTAGTTCAAAATAAATCGGTGATAACATATGCGGCAGAAACTGAAGAAAGGGCGGTCTATCAGAGTAACAACTAGAGTGCGTGCCAAGGAAAAGGAAATGCAGACGAAAGTGCAGTTGCCAGAAATGCATTGGATTGATTAACTGATCAGAATGGGAGATTTGGTGGCACAGAGCAGAAGCAGCTAGAAATCCTAGAGAAAAAATATGACATGAATGCTGCAGCCACTGCCATCTCCTTTCTGAAGCAGTACTGCAATAGAAAATGATGATGATGATTGCAGTTGCAAATGATAAGTCACTTCTAGGTGAAGTGGCCAGAGGTGTACTTATCTGTGTCTACTGACAGTGTTATGTTGTATAGATTAATGTAATGACTAGTCAACATGGCAGGCATACCTCGATCACAAAAAATGCCGGGAAGTTGCAGAAACAGATACTTTATTAAATGTTTTTTTTTTGCATCCATGCTTTTCAGCTGTCTTCATTTTCAATGTGGTGCAACTGATGGAGCCTGAAGTGTTTATTCACCAGATGTGTTGGTGCATACTAGACTTATGGTACAGTATCCACTTCTGCTTGCCCTACTAAGTTCAGAATAACTCGCTATGTGCAAGAGTCTGTATTTATTTATTTATTTATTTACAGTTATACCTACAGTGCCCTCTGGGGGCATTGTTGTAGGGGGGTTTACAAATTCAAAGTATATTTAAATCAGTGGGGACAAGTTGAATAGCACGGCACACAAAAAATAAAAACAAATAAAAAAATACCTAAATCACAGCATACAATATCATTGTGTGACCACATACTCCTTCAAAAGGGAAGGAAACGCTGTGTGGATGTTTCGAGATTGAGTCATTATTACAATTCCCGCAAGAACATGCCGACATGACATAAAACGGGACAAGAAGCATGCACACTTTGTTAACGGGATTCTACGGGCATCTCCCGAGGATGACAAAAATGTGTGTTGGTGTGCAGCGGACCATGCCGATTATATAGCTGCACTACAGCACCACAATGTGTAAAATACAAGTGTTCTCCAATACTGAAAAAAGAGAAAAAGTGCCGTGTAAAGTCTTCTTGGAATGAGACCAGTGGCTTTCAGGGCAATGACAAATGCAGCAAAAAAAGTCTTTGTTTAAGACAAGAAGGAACGCAAACAGATGAGGACCTCTTAAGGAAAACACAAGATGAGCAAGGTAAACGCTGATCTTGTACTTTTGCAATCCTCATTAGTTCACATGCTGCTCAGAACTAACAATTTCTAAATTGCTCTCTTTACAAACAAATGGTAGGTTTTTATGCTTCTCACAGCCAAGAGAAAAATAAGCGACTCACCAGACTTGACCGATGCAGCTCCTTTGCCGGAAGAGTGAACTGATGCTGCATCACCACCTAAAGGATAGATTTAAATAAACAGCACCTTTGCTTGATGCACAGTTACACCTAAACAACAAAATCGAATTGAGAACCATCTGTTCCAGTTGTGTGCACAAGCAGAATTGCAGTTGAAGGTGTGAAACGAGAGCAGCAATAAAACAAAGAAATTGCTGAAATCTTCACAAATGCATTCGGCGTTCCACGTGAAGAAGTTTTGGTAAATCATGCTGGATAACACTGAGATAATGAAAAATGGTGAATTGCATGGTGGATTAATTGCTTTTCAATATCTGCTGAAGCGTCACATGGACTGTGGGGGATGCCACAGTAAAGAAATATCAATTCCCCCCCCCCCCCCCCAACTTTTAATTTTTTTTTTCATTATTTTGTCCCACAGAAAGGGACAGAGAAAATGAATTACCACAAAATGTCCCATAGAAAGGGAATTACCACAGCTGCAAATCGAACTAGCTACCTTGTGCTCACAAGAGACATTGTAGCTACTTAGTCATCACAACGAGTGATTGCTAATTCGGTTTAACGTCTCAAAACCACCATATGATTATGAGAGACACTGTAGTGGAGGGCCCTTGAAATTTCAACCACCTGGGGTTCTTTAACGTTCACCGCCAAATCTGAGCACACGGGCCTACAGAATTTTCGCCTCCAATGAAAATGCAGCCGCCCCAGCCGGGATTCGAACCCGCGACCTGCGGGTCAGCAGCCGAGCACCTTAGCCACTAGATCACGGTGGCGGGGCGATCAAAATGAGTGAGATGACGAAATCTGTATATGGTATTGTACGTCAGCGCACCAACATCAAGACCTTTTACACGTGATAAATCACATCATTACATATTACATCGAAGTGAGAAAAACATGCAGTATAAACTTTATTATTCAAAATGCAGCTACAAGGCGACCAGAGTCGTGGGTGAGACAATCATCTACTATTCTATATTTAAATCATGTAAAAATGGAATTGACAGAACTGCATCTCATAGTAAAACATCAACCAACAAAAACCATTTTTAAAGGACGTTTCATCGAGTTTGAGTACAAGTTGTCGTGATAGTACACGTAGCCTGGCCTATGAAAATATTTCACCTTATCTATGCCAAGATGACTCAAACACATTTCTCATAATGTTGCACAGCTTTATCCCTTTCGGCTGAAACCTATTAGTTATATAGTTATAAAAACTAGTTCATTAAGTTCTCACCTACAAAACTTATTTTACTGGCAGTAAGCTTCAACAAATGAACTCATCTACTCCAACATTATGCACAATTATTGAGCACTACGAATGCGATAACATAGCAAAGGTAGAGTTTCCATCTATTAGCCCACTTTCAAGATTACATGCAAAGTAATAAAGGAGTAATGATCCAGATTTCAAAAGTGTTTGTACAAATGTTTTATACAATGTTCTTTTTTAAATAGTGACATTTAATCAAAAGCGTGGTTCCTCTGGTGAGATGCCATCAGTGGTGGTGGCCTGTGATGTGACATAATACATATGGTGACTAGTCCCCAATTACCAAAAATATGTTAAATAACTTTAAGGCTAATGATCTTAGTGAACTCATCATAACTGAAAAGTTGGAACCAGTTATTTGCAGCAGCTATATCGAGTTTTGGATGCGAAGAAACACGAGGGGGGCACGATGGATTCCCTTATCTCAGAAAACGTGAGACTGAAACTGGGCACAGAAGAGCGTTCGTGGCCACACCACTCGTGACAAGGTTGCAGCCTGCGTCAGCGAACAAAGGGAAATCAACGCTCGGCAGCCTCATTAGCATAGCACAGCTCTCTTCTCAACACAGAGCGGTGCAACGCTGGCTGTACGCCTCTTGGCGATACAAGCAGTAATGTCAGCAGAAGGAGGAAAGTGCTGCAACCACACGATTTTTCACTGCATGCTTTACTTTTGCGTGCTTTGAGATCGGGCAATACATCGCGATAAAGCACTGCAAGTGACTCCTTATGCAGAAGCTTATGTAACTATTACAAAGAAGCAGAAGTTAAGGGGAAGATGAAAGATTGAAAGATGAAAATTCCCCGAACATAGGGTGTCACTGGAGCTAACGTTTTGACAAGTGGGCTTTTCTTTTTGAGGGCTTCAGTCTCCGCCTTGAAGAAGATAAGTTCACTTTTCAAAACATTGTCTCAGGCAACACACTGTGTAAATGAAATTTCAGTCTTTTACAAAGAGATGGCTCCAATTTCGAAATTACAACGAGCTCGTTAAAGTGCAGTTACCGTGATGTACAGTAAGAATTGTGCAGCATTTTTTTTTCTCTTCGTCAATGTTCTTTGTTTTCGATGATATTTATTGTAATGAATGCCTTCCTTTAAGAACAAGATTGGTAAGAAACCTAAGTCTCCCATTAAGGAGGTACGACAGCAGACTAATAAGATGCACTCATTTAGGGCAAAAGCTGGATTATTACAATCTGACACCTTTGCATATCTTTTATGGAGCACAGCCCCTTGCTCTTGCATTCATCACACAAAATAGTCATGAGTATTACTAGCATGAAAGGATCACTTTCCATTTTCAAATTCACAAGCGATAAAGCTGCACTTTTTTGTGATGAAGCCACACCAGGCAAGAAAATACCTTCATCACATCTGATATTCTTTATAAGCATGTGTTTCTTGTGCACTAATTTCAATAACAAACATTCCTTACATTCAGTGTTTATAATACTGATGGTCGACAACATTCTGTCGAGCATAGTCTAGTATCCTAACAAGTAAGCTTATTCATGCTCAAAGTTAGCATTGCATTTTCTTTTTGCACTCTCCTACTTTCAAATAAAACAGAAGAAGAGAGAGAGTGCTAATGCTTGAACTTTGCGGGTGGGAAGCAAAATTCCAACGGGTCGCATTCTTATCATTCCTAAGCTATAGCTGCTAAGAAGCACTAAAGGTTTATGGCTCGTCACTTCCAAGCTGCGATAAAATTAATCCTGAAAATGCACCTTTTGACATCGTACCACGCACCCAGATATTGTACCACAAAGCTGCAGGTACATTGTCTGACGGATCAAGCTCGTAGGCATTCAAAAAGCAAATACTAGTAAAACTAAGGATTGTAATTGAATTGCATACCTTTCATGATGGAGCCGTCATGTGCTGTTGTGGTACTTTCAGCAGTGTCGTCCTTTGACGAATCCCCGCCCCTAAAAACACACGCTCACCTTAGATTATTTCATTGTCTTCTACATTCATTGCAATAATTAGGTGCACCGCAAAGGTTGCTTAGGGAAATGCAAAAATAGCACGTCACAATTGCGCATAAGTAGAACACAAAATAAATTTTGGGTTTTGTATATAATGAGTGTTAGTCTGCGTAACAAAAGCTGAACGAGCCGTGAAAGAATCTCATGGCAAAATACTCGTAACAATAAATTTACCCCATTTTGCATACAGGGTGAAGGTAGAACACTTTGCATTCAACCAACATTTTCAACAGTCAGAAAAGGTTCCGTTTGCCACACAGCCAAATGCCTTGCAAAAGTACAACGTACTTCCTACATAAATATAGGTGGGTTGCGATGTTCCTGAATACTGGTACATATAACAAACCTTCATTGATAACCGCATATCAAGGAGACAGGGCCAATGCACGAGCATGCGATAACAGGACAAGTTCCCTACATATAGGGCCTATCGTCGTTAGAATTGCCTCTGAACCTGGGATCTCCCAGACTGTTTATCATGTCTGATGGCACAAGGCGGACAGTAATTGTGATAAAAAAATTCAACAGAACAGTTAAGTTGCCACATAATGGTCTTGGAAATCTCGCCTGGTGTCCCTTCTGGCACTAATCTGGAATCGCACAGGTTGAATGGCTGCTTCACTTTACTGATGAATGTGACATCGCCGAGCTGTAATAAGTCACATGTCCAATGACGTAAGGGGAAATGCGATTAGAAAAAATATAATAATAAGTTTCATTAAGGTGTTGCCTAGGGTAAAAAACTTACTGCCATATATATGAGCTTTTATGCCAATTTCAAGTATATAATTAGTTTTATAGTAAGCAGCACAGTTTCCACTTTGTGCTGTGACAATGTGTAAAGTGTAGTTCATTTTGAAGAAACCTTTTGCACCATTAAACTTTTATGGTTCTGAGCGATTAATAGCTCATAGTGCTCCACATTAATTGCAGAATGTAAATAACTATCAAGAAAGTGTGTATAAGGCATTTTAATGGACAACAAAGCTTGTAATGTGAGAATTCCTACAATCCTTGACCCCCGCTAATCGTTTGCTTAAAGTTTGTAATAATGATAGAGGAGATATAAAGTCTTAAAGGAAATACTTGCGCCATTCACATGTTAAGGAATATGTGGGTGAAATTGCATCCTGATCTGGCTATCAGAAGTACCAAATACATCATGTCTAAACTCAAAGAGTTGTCCAAAAATGGATTTTGAGAAAAACACATTTTAAAGGTATAAACGAAAGCTGATCTATGAGGTGAAGATATGTTTTTTTTTAATTGTTTCCATCACGAGAGCTTGGCAATCATTGCCATTTTGAGCATGTGAACTTAGTGAACTCCTCATGCAAAATGCAATGGCAAGCAGCCAGGTCACCATTTCTAGGGGACTCTAAACTGAGTTTTTAGTAGCCACCTTGTGCTCTTTAAAAAGGATTTTAACCTACCTTAGGTATAATTATAATTTTCAGCTTTCTTTTTTGTTGTGAAAGTAGATAAACTAAACTTGTAAAAAAAAATGAAAAATATGTAATTTTGAAAAAAAACTTTCATCTCCTTTAAAGTGACTACATAACAAAATGCTACTTTGGTCTAGTTAGCTGGTGCACAGCTACTTGAAAGATGTGGACCAAGGTTACAAACAGAAAGAAAACAGAAGGGATAGAAAGAACGGCCACGTTATTTCTGTCCCTTACTTTTTTTTTTCTTTCAATCAAAGCATTGCACCACGTCTTTTAAGAAATGAGCATTTGCCCCACCTCCTCGACCAGCCAATCAGTGTGCACTGAAAGCGCTAGTACAGTAATAACACCAACTCAAAATATGGCTCCTAAGCCATTCAAGCCTACTAGCCCTTTGTGCTGCTGCAAAGGAAGCTCTGCAAACTCACGGCGATTCATGGTGCCGTTCACTCGTCGGTGTCAATGCATCAGCCTCAGTTCGGATGCTGCCCCTGGAGGATGTGCTGCGCATTGGTTTGCGAAGAGTTGGTGGCAGAGCAGTGGGCCGGGTGACCTGCTGCTTCGCACCTTCCAGGTTGGTGAACACCTTGCTCTTTACCTCTTTCACCTGCATTGCAGAAAGCGTAACCTCAGAAAAAAAAGGAAATATTGTAGTGGACAACACCTGTTAATGTATACATGCATTGCCCAGGCAATGTCTTATCGAAAGGAGCAGTGCCCAGAAGCGAACACTACCTATAAACGTCCGACTCTGGAGTTTTGCGGACAGGCAGCGCCATCTGTCAATGCAGTTTTGAGTAGTGCAAAGCCCGAATCCCTTGCACAGTTTGCTGCGCAACCAGGTGCAACTACAGTGTAAAAAACAGCGATTGAGCTAAATATTAGGTGTATTTGAGCATTGGAACTTTTCCAAAAAGAGCTACGAGTTTTTCTCCGCTAGTCAGGCATGTCACCGAACCGCCGTGAGGGGCTTGCTGAATCACTCGCCAGAACGACAACGAAAACAAGAGCAGACGCAACAGCTCTGTGCTCTACGAAAAAAGACCCCAGCCAACGCTAAAGTTGCGTTGTGAATTGCTACAGACGTTAAGGACTACATTTTACTGTTTCCGATTGTGTTAGGTAAGCGAATCACTCGCGTTGTCTGCAGCCGTTCGCGTGAGAAAGTGTGATAACATAGGTCTCCTATTAATGTTTTGAGTAGCTTTGATATCAAGGAGAACCGTAGTAATTATGAAGCATAACAGAGCCTCTGACCGTGGTGCGCACCGTGCAGCAGTAGACAGGTGACGATAAACAGCACACACCGTGACTGCAGATAACCTGAAGCTCAACAGCATTACGCCTGAGGGCTTTCAAGGCTCTAAGTTCCGGCTTTATCTATGAAATGCAAACAAGCACGTCATATAGGTAAATCGCAATATGATTGGGACCACAATAGATTTTTTTTTTTTGCCCTTGGTCTCCGTGATTGCCGGAGCAATCTCGGAAGCCTCGGTTATACATTTTGTTGTACACCGAGCAAGCGGACACGCATGCATCCCCGTTTGCAGTACATACAAACGGATGACAACCGTCAACAGAACATTTTAGCATGCTTGATAAAATAGTTCAACGCACAGGAAGCGAGAGATCGAAGGAGGATGCAATTGCAACGACGAAAATTGCCAGGGCTGTTTGTGCCAAATAAGGTGAACTTCGTACCACTGTTCGTAAGATAGATTGCTCGTCAATCCGCTTCATCGCTTTGGCATCATGTGTATGCCTGAGTTCAACTCATTTAGGCGTTACAGAACGATCGTAGGAGTGCTTGCCTGTAACTTTATGTCATGCGATGCTCGCTTGCACTTCAAGTGCCAGTTGCAGTACGCCGAATTAACTGAAACATCTTTCACACCGTACCCGTAGTTTGTTTTGATGAGCTTCCTACTATTTTAAAGCGAGGTTGGGTTGAAGTAAGAACCTTGCCAGGTCCTTGATTTTCAGGTAACTGCGCCTCAAGGCAAACGAAAGAGGAGGGCCTATGCACGTTCGCTTGAGGACGGCTCAGTTTGTACTGCCAATTTATGGCCGGTGCGTTGATGGGGGCGCTGATGACGGCGTTTTTCTCAGCACCGCCTAAGCAGAGTCTGACGTCTATTAAGCCATGGCTGTTGTGAACAAGGCAAACGTTTCTATGGGTCAGGAGTCTCAAACTTACCTCAACCAGTGCACCATAGTCACGAAATTTAATTTGCCCATGGACAGGGATTAAGAAGGTAGGAGCAGGAAGGGGATTTCGAATAAAATGTCAGCTAACGTTGCCAACTGAAAATTCTATCCCATATGTGATACATGGGTCGTTTCTAAAGGGGGATTGCTGTCATATTTTGAGTAATAATACTGACCTCCATGAAGTCTGGAAGCCGATTCCAAAGTATAAGAGCTTTGGTTTCATGGTTACATTTGAACACACGGTGCCTGGATGGGGTGCAAGAATGCTTGGGGCTAGTCACATCTGTGCCGCTCATGAACACTTTTAAAGAAAAAAATTGGAAGAGTGCTGAAGGTTGGGCGAGTTGGTACTGGTTCATGACTATTTTTGAGTAACATACAAGTGGACAAAAAAAAAAAACAGACACCACGAGTGCAATAGGAGATGAAGACAGTCATGTGTGGGTTGGGTCACTGGCCACGTGTTTTACAGGCTGTGTGTTTGAGGCCCCTGCCGTTAGTGATGACTGTTTCTGCCTCGTTGTACGTGGCTGAAAGGGCCCACTTCGAAGCTTCTGTCACATTTTTTTTTAGCAGGAATTCGCATGTGCCCTCAAGAGTTGATGAAACTTCTTGGTGACATTTAGACAACTCTCACTGGAAACCGTTATTAAACTCTTGTGGGGGTCTGTTCGATTCCTGACTATTTTGTGAGTGAAATTGGCACATGCTAATGCAAAGCTTTGAATACTTTGATGGGAAAGTTGATGCAAGTAGTCCCCAGTTGAATAATTGATTTCCCAAATTATTTTACATGAAAGAGGGATCGTGGGTCTTGAACAACAGGTCATTGATGTAACTAAACAAAAATATTCATGTAATTTTTTTTTCTAATTTGGTAATTTGGTACTGCCAATATAATGCACCTGCAGTCGTTACCACTGTCACTATGGCAATGTAACACCTATGCTATGAGAGATATTGGGGATGAGAATTCTAGAGACAAAGGACCCTGATGGAAAACACTAATTAATTGTTGGATTGGTCACCTAGAGAACTCTAGTGGTGTAAGCATGGTTGTTAAGTAACACTTCAAAGCTGCCTTCCAAACTGTCATTTGCGTGTCATTACCACCATTTGACCCAAGTTACGCATAATGTAAAACATGGTTGCTGCCTTAGACATTGCCTTCAGCAAAGCTGAATTTCTCTAATGTGACTAGCCAAATATGCAATAGATCAGTCAGGACTACCCGACAACTTTTCTAAATAATCTATGCGTTTATTGATTAAAAATAAATTGCACACTAGTGAATATAATGAAAGTAATTTTTCTCCTCAAATCCTTAGAGTGTTACTGCAGTGCAAAACGACAACTTTAATTTTTTTCTTATTGCCATGTTTAGGTTATCTCAATGTTAGAGAGCTCCGTAGAAGTCATTGCACTACGTTTTTCCTCAACTTCAAGTGTAACACTATGACACTACGCACCTATGCTTCTAAAATCAGTGGCGTCGTCATGAGGTTGTACAAAGCTTTTTTGCATGCTGCAGATTTTTTTTTTTTCTCCAGCCCTTTTTTCTGGAAGACTATTCCTTTATTTACTGTAAGACCAAAACATTATGTCTGGCACTCACAGCACATAATGCTCGAATAATACTCTCAAAACAAAAGCAAACCTCTCTCCCTGCAAACCCACTGGGTTTGTGTATTTCAAGAGCCACAAACACAGCTGCCGTTCATGAATACATGCTAGATAATACCTTGTTTAGTGACGTGCACACCGGTGTCATCACGTATCCCACGCAGTAAGTGCACAATATATTGGATCAAATGGTAAAAAAAAAAGGCAATCACCTAATAACACACAACAAAAGGCATAAGCACAGCTTGTAATTGCCTGAATCAGTCATCTGTTTAGCTGCACTTGTACACAATAGACCTCTTGCAAGACTCAATAGAAAGGCAACACAATGAACAGGTAAAGCGAAACTGCCCACACAGCTTGCTAAACGGAGCTGGCATTTCAAAGAAGTGCCCGTCTAACATTGCAGGAGTGAGACAACAGAGCCACAAACTATCGATGAAGAATGTACATGGCAGCAGATCTCAGTACCAGCTCCTGAGAATAAAGTTAAGAGAGAATGGACTCATATGCAAGTCACTACAAGCAGGTCACAGTAAACAAGCTCTCAGCTCAATGCAATTCACTCCCATTTTCTCGTTCTCCATTCTCTATCCTCATTTTAAATGATGGAGCTTATCAATTATGAATTATCTTGGAGTCCTTCAAGTTCCTTTCTTAGTGCAAACAAAAAAGCACCTCTCCCATATCAGTGCTCGTTTATAACCATTTGACATGACAACAATTCAGATCGTTTTACAAAAAAAAAAAAAGCTTCCCATAATTGAAATCTGTGGTAGTATTTCTCCTATATCGGCTCTCGTTTCTAATCATTTGATATGCGACAGTTGCAATTGCTTTACAAAAAAAGAGGTTTTCTATAATTGAAATCTATGGTACCCCAACTTTCATGATTATTGTTACGTCATGCTTATAACAGAGTTGCATTTTCTCTCAACTGCACTGTGCTATATTAAATAAATGCAAGGCATACTGTTCAAACTAATAAGAGCGTCACGCTTACCTTTGGCTTTGCCTTTTCATCAGCCATGCTCGCAGCCAATTTCGATGTGACGTCATCCCACCGACCTTTCTTCGGTTGCCTAACAATTTTCTTTGCCACCTCCTCATTCTCCGCTTTGCCTGCTTCAATCATTGCCTTCACTTTAGAGACAACTACCTTGGGTGCTGGCCTCGGGAAGGAAACAGGGAGCCTTTTCGATGTCGTCTTCTCAACTTTGCCCACTGCCGCGGCAACCTTAGTATTGTCAGATTCAGCCACCACATTTTCTGCGCCAACATGATTGACGTCTTCAGTTTCGGGCTCAGATGCCCTGTTTTGAGTTGCACTAGCCTCAGCAGGCCGTGCATCCGGACTACTGCCCTCCTCGCAGGCCTCTCGCTTTCCAGCGCCATCTCCCCGATCAACTTCCACTTCGTTAGCGGACTGTTCCTGATCTGCGTCCGCTTCATCTTTTTTCACGGCCGACATGGGATCCTTGGACACTGGTACCTGCAGGCGGAGGGGCGGAAGGTGCTTCCCGGCGGGCGAGGAGGTGCGGCCACAGTCCAGGCAGCAGTCCGGATGGAGATTTCGTCTCTGAAACTCCGACTCAGAGACGGCGCCACTATCTTGGCTGCTGCAGGTGGACCACCGCATCATCTTCTCTTCGCACGGGCTCACTGCTGTCCCGGCTTCACTCTGGTTCTCCATCTCAGAGTCACCCTGGAAGCCAGTGTCCGTGCTGTGAACAGTGTAGGCCGACGTGGGTCGCTTGGGCCTGGTACCGTCCTCTCCCTGCAGGCTGCTCAGGTTGACTGCGGTCAGTGCATCGGCAGCACTCGGAAGCTCGCACTCCACAGAACCGATGCTGGTCGCAAATCCCGATGAGCATTCGAGACTGTCGGACGTCCTTTTCAAGCCAGATTCGTCAGTTGCCGAGGAGGGTGTCTCAGACATAGTGTGACTACACGGTGATGGCTCGTTTGTTATGATCGCACCACTGCGAGCCATAACAGTGTTAAGGTAGTCTACTTGGTCGGGGAAGTTATACTGCAATATTCGCAACACATTACTACTTATCATTGGAATGTTGTCATCAGTGAGAGGGTCGCTAGGCTTGAACGCTGTGGATGCAGCACAGGGCTCTTCCTCCACCTCATCCAGCTGCTCTTCATCCATAATGTCAGCCACATCGTCCACAGAAAACGAGTTTGGGAGAACCCCCTGGTACGACTGTCCATCGACAGAGACAGCAATATCTCTCATAGCGCCATCCGTTAGTAATCCAAGGCTCTCTTGCTTCGAACCATCATCGATCTCATCCATGATTTCGGCGATTGGGGACAGGAAGTCTACTCCACCAACAGCTCCTTCAGGACTCTGTGAAAGTATTTTCTTTGCACACCTGCTTTCAACTTCGTCAGAATTCTCATGGATGGGGGAAAGTGTGTTTTTTAGTGCAGCACTTGGTTCAGGAGCTGGTTGCTGAGGTGGCAGTTCGCTCATCAGTGCAGAACGAAGTTCCTGGAGAACCTCTGGACTTACATGATCTCGTAGTGATGGGTCTCGGCGATCATAGTCATCAGAGTCACTGTCTGGAGAACCATACACGGTAGCATCTTTCCACAGGGGTGCGTCACGCTCTGCTGAATATGACACTACCTCAGTACTGCAAACTGTCACATAACCACCAGCATCGTCGACTTCCTCTGTTGTATCTATTTCTCTGTGCCTTGATTTTGACGCTCTACCCGAGAACCCAAGCTTTGGGAGGCGTGACAGAAGTGATGCACTTTTCGGCCTAACTGCTGGCGGTTCATTTTCTGTCTGGGCTGGCGAAGGTAATTCAGGTAGTGTTGGCACTGATTGCTGAACATGCAGTTTCACTTTTGACTCCGGCACAAAAATGCCATGGTTTGGACGGCACGTGAAGTAGACTACACCGTCAACAATGCCACTGTGCTTTCCGCCTGCTGCATCATCAAGCTCAATGCCACACAGTACTCCTTCGGCAAAGTGTGTCTCTCCGTAGTACTGAAGTATACCGAGTTTTGAATCTCCTATGGACACACGATCTCCAATCTTGAGGTATTTATGGGTTCTTCTGAACGCCTCATGAACTGGTACTTTTGCGCTCCTACGATTTAATGAACCAGAGGAGGTCTGTAGAAGCGGTTCAGGTTCTGGTGAAAGGCTCGAAGAAGCTTTGGGGAGGAGTGAAGTGAAGTCTTCTAGTTTCTTTGCAATGACACGCTGTGGTCTTGGTATGAAACGGGCAATCTTGGAGCTCCTCTGCTGTCCAGCCTCAGGCCTATGACCCTGGGTGAGGGGAAAAGACCAGGCCTTTAGGCAAACACAGGCACGAGACGCATCAGACACACACTTACAAATCCCGCCGCATGCACTGCAGTTCGTAATCAAGGGGCACACAAGTAATCCGATGTGATCATTGTAGCACACGGACTGCACAACTCACACACCCATCCCAGAAAACACGTGCTGCCTGCAAGCAGAAGCGGTGTACACCCACCGCTTTGAACCAACTGCAGAGAAGAAGCGTTCTTTTTTCGTTTTTTTTCCCCTGTTCTCTGGCGTCCCTCTCTCCAATCAGAAAAGGAAACACGGTCCCAATTCCGCCACCACCAAAATAAACACGCGCACCTGCCCTTCGCTAGGGCCCTTTCATTTCTCAACGTGTTGTTCCCATCCCAATCCAGATGACCCCTTCTCACATCCATTTCGGGTTTTCTCCCTCCCCTCTGGCCGAGCCAACTACGGAGGAGGGCAGACCATCCTGACCCACATTCGCTGCCGATCCCCGTGTCTCTCTCGCCTTCGCGCTAAGCGTGCTCTCCGCTCTTGAAGTTTAAAAGAGGGCGAGGAGGTCGAGACGTGGAAGCGAACAACATTAAACGAATCCGCGAGAGCACGCGGCGAGATGTGCTAGTTTAGAACAAGCAAATATTTAAAAGCAAACGCCATCAGTAAAAGAGCTGCCAGTGGAATAATGAAGACGTGCGACGAGCCCGCACGCTCATGCCGCGAACAATACGACGTGCGAGGCGAGGCCCTCAGGCTCAGAAGGGAAAGGTGTGCCGTTTCACGCATACGTGCAGAACGTGTACACTGTGACGTCCAAAATAAAACCAAGAGCGGGCGTCGTAGTGCACGCGTACGTGAAGGCCTGCGAGAAGACGGTCGGGAAAAAGATGTTCGCACCACACGTGTCAACGCGAACGCTTATAACTGGTGCGCAGCTGTTGGGGATCGTTGCTTATTCTGGGTTGTTTGGTTCTAAAAATAAACGCGTTCTCGAGATTTATTTCGCGCCACCAGATTTTTCTGTGTCACACGTGAAAGGACTCGTGAGGGCCTGCAATAGCGGGGGCTACATTTTTCACATTTACGTCGAAAGCGGCGCGCTGCAACTTGCTGTTTTCGATGGCAGAGCTGTTCAACATTTCGCGCACGTTTTTTCTCGCTTTGGTTCCTCCAAGCGAGTGCGACATGCAGCCACGTTCGCGCAAAATCGGAGGCTCTTACTCAAAATACGAAATATATACAGACACGGTACTCTGCTGGTCCTGTATATCACACGCGCACCCGGATAGCCACATACTGCAGTTACTCTTTGGGCCGGCTGTAGTTGTATGTAGAAGTCAAGATCATTGACACATCACGATCGGGCAGCGCTGTGCATCCCGCGATAGCGCAAATCTGAGGCAGGGTTTCAAGCAACGTGCGAGTGGCGAAACCAAACTAATTTGAGGCTTGAGAATACGAGTTCCTAGTGCATTGCTCTGGGATTCGATACTTTACTTTAAAAACAGCACTGCACGCGGCATCATCCGTCGAACTCGTCACGATACAACTGGCGAATCCACGGCGGAGTCAGCTAGGCAGGCGACAGACTATTGATCGGGAGTGACTCGCGGATCTCCGCGCACGCAGTCGTTCGTACGGTCGACAACCGGGCCGCTCGGCCAAGAAATGAAATGAAGAAAAAAAAAGGGGGGGGCCAAAGCAAGGGAAAATTTAAACGGGGGTACCACTTGAGTAAGATCACCTGCACTACAGTCATCTGCTGCAACACGGGCTCACAGATTTCATGCAATGCGCGATCTCGCAAAACGTTATGTTCGGTGCTGCCGAAGAGTAGCAGGCGTTCTCCTACTCGTGCCGGTGCCACACCCCCAAGAAACAGATCTTGTTTCAACTTCTGGCGAGCGTACAAGCGCGTTTTACACGCACACACGTAGCTACTACGTCTAGCAGCACAAAACGAGGAAAGAAAAAACCGCTGAACGGGGAACCAACAGCGTGTAGAGACAGCGCTTGCGGTGATGATGCGGTCCGCCGTGCCAAAGGACATCATTATGGTTTCCGAAAGGAAAAAAAAAAAAAACAAAGGCCTAAGCGGCGCGCAGCAACAAATAACAGTCCGGCCTCGTAAGCTCTCGAAACGTTCAGCCAAAAACAACGGCGCATGTGAGCGCCAACATGTGATAACGGAGCCTGTGTGCAGCGGCCGCTGCTGTCGGCGCCGACTCCACTCACCTCTGCCATTGCGTCCCGATCAACGGTATCCTCCGATTCGCGCGCGAATCAAAACACACTTTCACGGGCACATATTCCCGACGTAGCGACAATTAATTCGCCTCGCAGCTTCGAGGGAGGCGAGCGAAACGAGTTACAGCGCACACATCGTTGCCACACAAGCAATACGCATACGTTGCTACGAGTCTTGCGATGCTTTCTTAGCCATTTTTGTCGTTTTTTTTTTGTTTTCTTTACCGTGTGGAGAGGCTGGCGAGCGAGGAGGCAGGTGGCGGGAGCGGAGGCGCTGCTGCTGCACTCGGTGAGCACGCAAGGGCTTGTGGGTACAAATAAGTGCGCGCACTTGGTAAATGCTACCGCTATGTCTTGCGCAAGGCCTTGTCACGCATCCGATGTAAGAATGAATATTCAGCTGTTGCAGCGTTACGACTATTCACTCAAAAGCTAGTAATGTAAATACATAAAGGACATTATTTAATGCCTTACTTAAACTGCCTGAGTTGTTTATTTGGACTAAGTTTGCCACTTACGTAATTGGGTTTAGGTAGGATTTAGGCGCTCACAGAGAAAAACTGCCTGCCGCGTCGGCTGCAAAGGATTTCCGTGCTCAGCGAAGCGACCTAAGAAGAAAGGCCTGTGTACTGTCGTTTGCACAAAGGTTTCTTTCTTTTCTGCATCGTGCGCGAGGTCGTGTCACCCCAACGGCAGCGCTTGCTACATAAAACACTATAAAAGTTTCGTCGTTTACGGCGCACGTGTCATGCCGCGGATAGATACGTTGAGGGTGTGCCGGCGGAGAGCTCCGAATATTCGTCGTGGTTCAAAAAACTGAGTTTGCGCAGCATTTCGGTGGCATAATTGTACGCGTTCCGTGATCTACGCAGATGCCAGCGTAAAGAACGAGTGAATGCGTTCTAAATATACGCTCGTTGAATTTCCAACCTCCAAAAAACAACAACAAGAAACGTGTTTACGATGCCTGCTTTGTCTATCCATGCTATACATTTTCCCGGCATTTCCAGCATTCCCTAAACACGCGTGCTTACCAAAATTGAATAGCTGTCCAAGTAATGCGAAGCGCTCGTGGCCCCAGCACAGAACCCGAAGTTTTGTCTCCATTGCGGGAAATTGGCTTACGCACACGATGTCTCTCCACGCGATGTCGTTTAAATTGAGTAAGACCGATGATGCAACGACTGTCGTACTCCGTGACATCCACATCATATAACATTCCCTTCGTTTCGGTTGGCCAACGCGCGCAGTAATCCACCTGAACCACTCACTGCCACGATCGCGAGCATTTCCCCGTTAAAAAAAACAAAAAGAAACACCGCAGTCACTTTCGCATAACACACGGCCTTTAATTTTGTTGCCCAGGGCTGTGCGTACATCGCGTTGCAGGGCCATGTGGCGCCTGCAATTAAGCACCCCTCTTTCTCATCCGGGGCTATCAAACTGCGAACTGAAGCATGGCAGCTCGCCTCCATTTCGCGACTGCCGGTCGTTTGTGTGTTCACTTCCTTTCTGTGTGGTCGAGAAGCGAGGGACCAGACTCGACCTATTTAACGCCGCCGCAGCTACGCACATGGCGTAGCACGAGACGTAGTGTGCGTATAAGTACGCACGCGCGTACGCATGGCAGACGCCGTTCTCGCTGTAGTAAGCCTGCGGCTCTTGCGTAACCTGAAATGCAACCGGCGCATCGCAAGTCGCTCGGGTGGAGGCCTCTCTCTACAAGGGGAAAAAAAAGAAAACGCAAAGACTGGAGGAGGGAGGGAGGTAGAGAGAATAAAGCAGAAGAGCAAAGTCTAACCGTGCGTTTCCGTTAGCATGCGCGAAATGATCCGCCTCAGGTATATATATACAAGCGTGGTGGCTTTGCGCGCTTATGCTGGCCGCGTCCGTCTGACTGTTCATGAATTCTATTTTGTTTTTTCCTCTTCATAACTGGGCTTAGGGATGACCGGTCTCTCATGTGTGACACACATAGGACTCTACAGCCTACAGGTGCTCCGGTATACAATTGTATATAGGTTTCTAAATGAGGAAAATGGTAAAGAAAGAAAAAAAAAACGAAGATTGCGCGATTAGATCAACACGTGTTTCCGCTAATACCGTGCGGCGCTCTGCGCGCGCAAGCTATAGCGTGAGCCAATAGAAAGGAAGTGTCCTCCTGAGCACGTGCTCCGTGACCGCGTGCAAATTCGTCGGCTATCGGTTCCGGTGAACACACCAACGCTGTAAAACTCTGTACCAAAGTCACGGCTATTTATTCGTAGACGGTAAAAAAATAATACAAAAATAGGAAATTTAGGATCTAGAGGCTTTACTAAATTTCCCACCACTTGAATTCGGAACGTCACAGTATTTTCTGTCGTACCACTGTGATTTAAAGCTACTTCAATGCACGCATCACTGCACCGTTACATGGGGTTTTACTGAGACATCGTAATAGTAAATAACGTGTGGGCTTTTGCGCTCCAAAACTACGATATGATAATGAGATGCGTCATAGTGGAAGGTTCCTGAATTTTCAGCCACCTCGACTTCGTTAACGTGCACCTAAATCTGCGCCCTTTTGATAGAAGACTTCCAATGAGATGCTAACAATATTCTGCTTGAGAGATGATGCTTCTTTTATGTTTGCTTTCAGCAGTTGACACGGTCTCAAATCTGAGGTCTTCGGACTTGTGCACTCTTTCTGAACGAGATAAAGAGTTCACCAACTACCATAAGAGCCGTGAACAATGACGTTAGAAGGCGCTAGTGTCGCAGTATAGTGCTCCATGAGCATAACGCGAGGGGGGGGGGGCAGCATTGGGTGTTCGAACCCCACCCTCTATTAATTTTTTAAAATTTTGCTTGCGTATATATGCACGCACGTATTCACATAAAGCATCATTGAATCCCCCCCCCCCCGAAAATATATTTGGCTACGCCCCTGTACGGCACAACTGAATCTCCTCTACATTCCCAAAGTCGAGCGCCGTTAAGTATAGCGGCAGCATCGCTTCGCTAGAGTCCACGTACTTACGCGATTAAGCAGGCCAGGTGCCTGGTACTTATGCGACAAGCGAATCGCCAAGGCGAAGCACGAACTTGGTCAACTTGAAACGCCGCGAATGTCTTTCCGTATACCTTCTTTCCTTCTTTTTTTTTTTTTCGAGGGGGGGGGGGCGCTGCTTCAGCGGAGATACCGGCATAAACGTAATCCACCAGGTGTGACGTCTGCACGCAGCGCAGGCGTCCGTATTGAACTCTGGGAGATCCACTGGCCGATAAGGAGGAACCGAGCTAAAAGAAGAGAGCGTGATCAGATGACCGCTTTCTTGTCCCCTCTCTATTTTTTGTTCTTCTTTGTCCTCCATTATTCTTTCTCCTATCTAATCTGTCTAGTAAAGGCTCGCCTGAGTGTGAGATAGCACATCCACGTGGCGCTGTGTAAAAGGCGAACCAAAAGATAATGATATATATGGATAACGGAGGACACATAAATGCGTACAACCCCCCCCCCCCCCCCCCCGAGGCTGACAGGGCGGTACAACTGAGGTGTTACGTTTGCTATCGATAATAAAGTGGTCTCAATAAGGTGCCCATATTGGCGAGTGTTCTTTCTCACTCTTACGATATCAGTTACCGTACACGACTCAAATATAGAAAAAAAAAAGCTGTGCGAGATGTTGACCGGACGAGGTTCAAACAAGACAAGCGATCGAGGCATCACGGACGCCAATACGCCCTCTTGCGTCCTTGTTTGCACTCCTACTTTAGTTTGTCGTGCATCCTGCTAACTAGAACTACTCGTTGTTGTTCCAAGTTGAGTTCAAAATTGTAGTGAAGTTCAAGTATACCACCGAAAAAATGTAATACGTGCAGTGGGTGTACGAAGTTGTAGCGCGGCTTCTGGCGTCCAACGTCTTATCTCAGCTGGCAGATAAGATACAACCGGGCCGAGACGTGTACTCAGTCGAAAGAATGCACCTTTATGCTTGTTTCCGAGCGTTTGCACTCTATTGCTTTGGCTAAAGCCATACAAAAATGTACGGAGGCCGTCGGATGATCATTGCTAGAAGCAAAAGAAGAAAAATAATATCCGAACAAAAAAAAAAAAACGCAGCGTGGTACTGGTGGGTGGCGTGAAATGAAAGACATAGGTGCGAAATTTTGTCTGGAATCTTGTCCAGTAAACCAAACAACGTACGTAGGAGGAGGAGAAACGCAACTCGGCGGTTATTTTTATATACACACATTTCCGACCACTGCAGTGTGGTGCTTCGCGAATATCAGACACACTCAGTTTTCAAACCATGATGAAGGCTAGTCAACCGGTCAAAACTGTTCGTAAACAAAGACAGCCGATAATAAGCGTTTCTTCTCTCACGAAGTGTGATACGTTGCATGGCCCTTAGAAAAAAGTTCCGTCAGGTGTCGTTCGTTCGTTCGTTCGTTCGTTCGTGTATGTATGTATGTATGTATGTATGTATGTATGTATGTATGTATGTATGTATGTATGTATGTATGTATGTATGTATGCATGCATGCATGCATGTATGCATGCATGTATGTATGTATGTATGTATGTATGTATGTATGTATGTATGTATGTATGTATGTATGTATGTATGTATGTATGTATGTACGTGTGTATGTACGTGTGTATGTACGTGTGTATGTACGTGTGTATGTATGTATGTATGTATGTATGTATGTATGTATGTATGTATGTATGTATGTATGTATGTATGTATGTATGTATGTATGTATGTATGTATGTATGTACGCATGTATGTATGTATGTATGTATGCATGTATGTATGTATGTATGTATGCATGTATGTATGTATGTATGTATGTATGTATGTATGTATGTATGTATGTATGTACGTATGCATGTATGTCAAATTTTTTTTCTATTTTGCATGTGCATATTTCACGTGCACATACAAAAGCACGCACAAACATAAATTAAGGTTAGAATCAAAGATGAACATTTGGAAGAAGTCTGCCTAGTTTTGGTTGCCTCATAAGGGCTTCATAAATATTAGATGACCCTCCGGCCTCCCTCGTAAAAAAAGAATTCTGGCTACGCGTCATGCTCGGCTCACATCCTAGGGCTCGAACAGACTTCGTGGATCCACAACAACAACACTCCATCAACATCCTTTGCATTTTCTCCGCGGTTCAAGGGAATTGACGGTTTGATTGTATCCCGGAATGTGCGTGGCCCAGTTGAGTACAGATATTTGCTGAAGTTCTGTT